TCTGCTCTCCTCCGCCGATCCCTCCTCCTTTCCCCGCCTGGACGCCGCCGCCGCCGCCGCCGCCGGAGCCCCTCGCCCGGGGTCCCTGCCGGCCCTCCGCTTCCTCCTGCCGGGGACGGGGACGGGGATGGCGAGGGTGCGGGTGCGGGGAGGCTCCCTCCCTCCGCCCCTGTCCGGGGTCTCGGATGCAGGCGCCTCCCGCAGGAGCGCGGAGCTCCCGTCTCCATAGCAACCGGGAGCGTGGATGCCCGCATTGTCACCGAGGACCGAGCCGCCTCGGAGGAGCGGGCGGGCGAAGCGAAGCGGCGGGCGGGCGAGCCTTCCTTCCCATGGCATATGGAGCCGCGCTCGGGCCTCCTCGCTGCGGGACGGGCCGGCTAGGAGGCCCCCCTGCCCAGCCCTGCCGCCTGCTCGTGCTCCTGCTCCTGCTGCCGACGCCTGCCAGGACCGCGGCTGCTGCTGCTGCTGCTGCTGCACCCACCCGCCGGCCGAAGCCGAAGGAGCTGGAATGAAGTTGCCTAATACTCAAACCGCTAAATACTACTAAAATACCAAAATTTGGTGATCTTTAGAATCCGGCAGTTCTAGAGTAGCCAGTTACACCAAGAAGGGAGGCAAAAGAAGGGGTTGATATGAATAAAAATACATAAATGTTGTCCCAATACAAAAATTATAAGCTATTTTTATAGTATAAGCAGAATTAAATAACACACTTTGCCTGAATGGGGAAGACTGTGACAGATAACCTGTCTGTCTGCTGAGTCTGCTGTAGGTAACAATAAAGTCACTGAGTTCCCTCTTTAGCTTTAAATCAGACTTAGACTGGAGAGCCTTTCAAATGGAGGACACCTTCAAAAGGAGGAGTGTCCTTTTGGCAGCTCTTCAAGTGGATGACCTTTGTCCTTAAAAATGAATATATGGCCGTGCTATGCAGTTTTCTTCTTTAAGTTGAGCATTGCACAGTGTCAGGGTGGGGATGGAAAGAAACAGACAAGTCCAAATATCATTCTGGCCAGATAGCGAAGCTTCAGGATCTGTATTTAAAGCAAAGACTCATGTTGGAAACTGCAGATTTATAAAACCAACTGGAAGTGTGCTGTATCAATTTCACTCCAGGGCATGCAGAATCTGTTATCTCTCTCTAGTTATATAGACACAGGGGTGCAGGTCACTTATTCAATTGTTTATTGCCTTTTATCAAATCACATGGCTTTTCTTTTGACTGGAAGCATAAACTCCAGAAACATGGTAATCCCCCGTAGTCATCAGGTGAGATCCAG